GATCTATTATTCCACATTTTTTCTGTAATATACATTTTATATAGGGAAAAAAATCTTTTCGAAAAATAATTACTGTTTAAAAATGTTTTCAACAAAGTATCCAAAAACTTTTCTAAATAAAAAAACTTCATAAAAGAAATTACATAACAAAATTCAACAAAGTTGACTAAGAACATTCCATCTCAATGATGCACAACATAAAACTTTGCACAATAGCATTAATTTTCGCCATTATTTCAAAGTATAAAACCTTTTTTATTATTTAGCACATTTGCTCAAGTCTAACATAGGTCTATACAACGTCGCTTACAACAAGATTTCAATATAATTCATCATAATTTCTCTTATCGCTCAAACAAAAGCTCAATAATTCTATTTGTGTTAATAATTTATCAACTGAGTAAATTATGCTCTAAATGACTAATCACTGGGCATTACACAATTTTTATAAACAGCATCGTTGTTGAAAATTTTATTTAATTTCTTTTAATACTACTTCAAATTAATTGTCACAGAAGAATGACATGGAGCGAATCTATTGGAAAAGATGGATCTATTTATTTAATCGTTCAATGATGAATTACAAAACGAGTAGATCTATTTGTTTGTTCGGCAAAGTGTTAAAGAAACATATTAAATCGCTATATTATGTGTTTTTATCGTACAACAAATTTTTCATGCCTGTTGATTGACTGTAGGATAGAGAGATCCGAGGACCTCTCTGTCCTGCATACATTTGTTATAAAACGTACAAAAACGTACAAATGAAATAACACTCTTAGATATTGATAGATTAATTAAAGAATCGATTGAGTTAATTGAAAAATTCTATATAATGTACTAAATACGTTCATTCCATTCAACGTAAATCAGATATTACTTACAGAACGATTACGCTCCTTGAGAACGATACGTGTTTTATGTTTCTCGTTTAATCGTTCCAACGCAAAATCCATGTCTGTGAGAAATCGACGAAAGACTCGAATACAAAGACAGCCGTCCCGTTGCCCTCCCCTTTTTTTTGGTCGCGCGCGGCATTCACAAGCCCGCTGTAACCACTAAACTTAACCTTACGAGAGCGAACGCGCACAAGTTGGGCATATTTTGCGCTTATTTTCTCGCTCTCTCGTACTCTCTTCTCAGCAACTCGACGAGGAGTGAGAAGAGATTCTGGATTTCACAATGCGTACAAGTCACAACACAATATTCAGTGAAAATATTACAATTTCTGACAATGTCGTCTTTGTTTACACACCGCTATTAAAACTGAAAACTTCTCTCTGCGCGCGCAGTCGATTGAGTCGATTCCTGTATTTCTGTCCACTCCAGTCCACTCCCGCCCATGGTAGTCCCGCCAGTCTCCGCTTTCCTCCGCATGATGGGGGTAAGTGGGGGTGAGTGGAAGTGGGTAGGGTAGGTCTTCCTATGGTTCCGATTTTCCGAATAACATCATAGAGTGCGTTCTGTTTCACTCATGATACGCATTATCATTTGATCCTCGTTGTTTATTGAATACTACAGATTACAGAATAAAACGATACATCATGCGTGAGAAACGGGGGGGAAAAACACGGGAAAATTCTGTCCTAGATTCAATTCTGTCCAATTTAATTTTGTATTATTGTTTTTTGCATTCTTAGGACAAATTCTGACCATATAACCAAATTACTGTAATCAAATCGATTACTCTCTCAAATTATTTCACTCGGGAGGATCTCGTTTGCTTATATTCCCGATTGTACACACTACTCACATCAGCTGGTGCCTAGTAATTTTTCATTGCTTTATCAATGAGAATATTTTATTTTTAAATTAATTAATTAGCGATGCATGCGTGCAATGGTGTGTAGTAATCGGAGTCCTCCGGTTTCACCCATGATATAAGAATATAAGGTATTCCATTCTCAACGATGCTCACATCAGTCGTCTTGAACACGACTGCTCTTTGATCAATCAAAAAATAACGTTGACCCAACAATTTTAATCAAACGTTTCGACCATTAATCTGATCAGTTATTAGAAAAATCACTAATGATTATCAGATTAAAGGTCGAAACGTTTGATTAAAATTTTATTGTAATTTTTTAGTGTCACAGGCAAGGATAATAAAATCGTTATTGGCGCTAAAAATAATATTATCTAATAATTGATTTGAATTTAGTTTAATTTATTAAAAAAAGAACTTATTTATTTAATAAATGAGGAGAAATTTTTATAATAGTAAATTATTGTTTCCTGTTTTACATATTATAAGAATTTGTTTGTATTGATGCTTTATTTAGCGGAAGATATATTGAAAAAATAATGTATTTACATAATAATTAAATTTATGCAGTTTTGAATCTTTTGAAGTTTTCTTATGTTTGTTGTTGTTACGAACTTCTAACGCATATTAAACACGTTATATTTTAGATATTCTGCAATGACGTTACTATTTATTTATTATGCCTATTCTGCAAGAAAGGAGCTATAGCTCATCGTTAAAAACATCTTGAAGATAATAACAATTATCAGAGATGTTACAAAAATATTTCACTGCGAATCATAGAATAGAATCTTTTTTGTTGATCAAGATAACGTCGTTGTACGAAGCAATCTCAGGTTTTAATAGTTTAAGATCCTCCCAAGGGAACGTTAAGTAGACAAACGACAAGTGGAAACTCGAGGAATTTGAGGAATCCTAAAAAAAAGGAGAAGTTGTAGTAGGGTACTATAAAGGAAAAAAGAAATATGGAAGGAAAGAGAAAGTGTTGCGTACATAGAATTGAATGAGTGAGTGAATAAGCAGGATGACCTAAAGGAGAAGGAATGAAAAAAGTGAGATAAAGTGGGGGAGAGAGAGAGAGAGAGAGAGAGAGAGAGAAAAGAAGAGGAAGAGAAGCAAAGAAAAGAAGATGAAAGATCGGACGATCGTGGAAGTGGCATCCTCTTCACGAGGGCGTTTCTTGGTGCATCCGGTATTATACCAAGACGTTACAGTGAAGCGTCTCTCGTTTCGCTTCTTCACGCTGATCTGTTCAGTCGCGTCGCTTTGAGAAGCGCGTGTGAACAGCAGTTCCGCTAGTTCTTGCCGTGCGTTCGAATTCGCCGCACGCGTCTCGCGCGAGGTACAAATGCAGATGGATAATCACGTTAATAGTGACGTATTGAACAGGACAATGCTGTAAAATCGATCGGCCGAGAGTGTCCTTGATTATTTACAGAGACAACACAATAAATCGATCGAGTGCACGGATGAAGGAGTGCGCTGAACGACTTGCTGTTTAACTTTGCACGAAGAAGACAAAACGATCGGTGATTAAAGGAAGAGCCGGGCGAGCCGGATTGCTATTTTTCAATCGAGCATTAAGAACAATTTGATTAATGGATTACTCGTTTTTACTGCGAAACATTGAATATTCTTAGATGAAATTAGATGAAACTTTTCCATTCCGACCGAATGATTCTTATTTTTGTAGATTTTCTGTAGATGAATGATATAAGTGGATTTATAAGAAAAAAAGAAAGAAACGTATACAATAAAAATTTGAATTATAAAGTGTTATAATTTATAAATATCTATTTTAAAATAATCTTTTTGCTTTAAAAACGTAAATAATAGTGTTGGAGACCTTGCTTTTAAAAATTGTAGCAGTGTAAATTTGCACGCAGGATGATTAAACGAAAAGATAAATGTAGTTGTCATTAAACGGATAGCAATTGTACTTCCGCTATGCTTGTGTTTATCGTTTAATGGCCTTCATATTGACGCCAGCTATCCGAATCAGCTGACATAAACGTAACTTAAGACGAAAAAAGAATCGAGATATGAACAAAAAGGTGGAATCAGGTACAAGCAAGTATTAAGTTAATTGTGCATAAAAATTGTAAATTTTTATAAGATGAAGTTAAACATTCAGGAATTAGCTTAAATATGATTTACAATAATCTGAGAGCAGAAAAGAAAGTGAAAGAAATTCTTTCTGAAAAAGAAAAAAAGTACTGACAATTTTGAAGTGTTAATCGGTGACACGTGAATTATATTTTCATAGAAACTGAAATAAAAAACATATATACAGAGAAAAAAAGACACACGAGTATAATAAAAATTAGAGCCAAAGTTTTAAAACGTGCAGCTGCAAAATGACGGAAGTAATTTCAAAGAGTAGCAATTTGAAACATATCTACTAAAAAAAATCACGTCATACAGTTGCATGATAAAATTATGTAATTAAAACTTGTAAATCGCATACACTGAGAAAAAATGCTGTTGATTCAATTGAAGTCTGTATTAATTAAATTATTATTTCAATAATCAAGGCCTTTATGCAATAAAAATATACATATGAATTAATTACTTACGTTAGTGACAGCCCGTAATGTAGACTTTAATTGAATCAACAGCATTTTTTCTGTTGTAGCGGATGTGATTGTTCCAAATCAGTACGCGATTTTAAAATTACGTATTTTGAAAAATCACATGATGATATGTTCTTTTTTCTTCTATTCCTATTATTCAATTCTTTAAAATTCGATAACTACAATATCATATAATGGATGAAATTATTTATAATATTATGTGATTTTTCAAATTAAATTATTTAAAAAAATCACGTACTGATTTGGAACAATCCGTTACGTGATTTACATGGTTTAATTATATGATTTCATCACGTAACGTTATGATATAATTTTTTTCAGAGAGCAGGAATAACATCGACAGATGTCCGGAAAATTAGGAATAATGTAATAGAGAGCTAGAGATTGTTTACATTGGATATAAATGAGTAATTATATTTTTAAGCCACTATGACCATGATAAGGTTTGTTTTGGCCGGTGTGTTGTTATTCTCGACAAAAGTATCGTCGAAGTCACACCTGACGAAATGTTGCCCGCCAGGAGAGATCTTCTCAGGACATTCCATCGTAGAGTGCGTTTCAGTACCGAAGAACTTTATAGCGACGGAACTTTATATTCAACATTGGAACACCACTACGGAGTTCCAAGGAATTCCTCAATGTAAGGAACCCGAAGATCTTATGACAACGCCACTTGACGATCTTGATTCCGACAATTTCTTAGAGGTAAATTGTAATGATTAAATTGGTCTTCTTAATGATCTTCTTAAGTATCTTCAACTGAGATTGCGATATTTTGACGAGGTAAAAGTCAAGTCTCTTTATGAAGAAGTATAAAGAGAAATATAAAAATTGATGATAAAAAAATTAATCAAACGAAAAATACAATCTTTTTCAATAAAGTGACACTTTTCGTTTGTCTTTAATTTTACCTTGATTTCCTTCATTTTGATTGTTAAGATAAATGACCATGATACCGTGATGCTTAAAGTAGAAGTTAAGTGTTTTTAATAAAGAAATTAAAAGAAAAATGCCTTTCTTAGAGAAGTTAATAAAATATATAATAAAAAACTTATCACAACACGGCGATATAATCCGCAAACCTTTTGTCACCTCTGAATACAATAAAAAAATTTATTTTCGCGCGAATATATAATAGACCGGACAATACAAATTTTACAATTAAAAGTAGTACTTTTATCCTTACCTTAATTTATCTTAATTATGTAAATTAATATTAAAATTAATTCTTAATATGCTAATTAATAATGTCTTAATTTTCTTTGTTTTGCTAATATTTAGATCAAGGTATAATCAACCACTCCTTAAGTTATTAGGTATATTAATTATTAGGTTATTAGGTATATTAACCGCTCCTTTTGCCCATGTATATATATGGGTGCGTCTCACTGTTCATTAAGCATTTACAAATATTACGAAAACTAACAAAGAGTAACTAAATAAAAACATACTTGCAAAAGAGTATTTCAGTTTTTCGAAAATAGAAAAAACTTAAATAATAAAAAAATTTTTGCGTTCAGTTTTCGATAGGGAAATGACTAAATGCACTTTCTTGATTCACATATCTATTTACATCGTTAAAAAGAAATAACATACTTTCATTCTTTTGATGATATTCTTATGGTAGCTATTATCGCGTAACAATCAAAGTATAATACTGTCCCAATTATATAATTGATTATGTGAAACGACATGAAGTTTAAATATAAAAACGAAAGATCCTTGTTTATCAATTTGATAAACTGTTTATAGGTGCCGGCTTGCCTCGAAATACTTTACGTGCAAGCAACTGGAGAGAGTATCGTAATAGTCGTTCATTGTCGATCGAACATAGATCGACCGGTAAAAGCGATTAACGCATCCTTTCCGCAACTCACATATATCAGAAAATGTTGCCCTCGCGATACAGTAT